TCTTCTGGCTTACAAATAGGTTGTCACGCCTTATACGTTCAAAACACGAGTCCCAGACAGACTTGTACCGTACGCATTACAAGTAATCAAATTACTTGTAATCGATTACTTTTTGGAGTAATTTTGTAATCAGTTGATTACTTTTATTAGGCAGTAATCACAAGAGTAATCTGATTACTTTTTGAAGTAATAAAATTACTTGTAACCGTTACAATTTGTCCACGGAACCCCCCTCCCCCGGCACACGCCTTTATTTTTATGAAATGAAAAAAATATTATTTTTTTTCGAACGGAAAAAAGAAAGATTTTTGCAGAGCTGTAGGAAACGAGGTCAATCTTTTTCTATGTACAGTTCCTGTGGAATGTCTGTTTTTTTTTTGTTTTTTGTTTTTTGTTTTTTTAGCTGGGACTGGAGTGGGAAGCCACAGTGAGTGACAAAGGCCATTCAGGGCAAAGTTTGAGGAAGCAGAATGTAGCCTTGTGAGTCCTTCGTTCAAACTAGCCCCCTCACGCACACGCACACGCACGCACAAAAATAAAAAAAAAAAAATAAAAAAAAAATTTTGCTTAGGATACCTACTCGCAGCCCGTAGAAGAACCAGAACCGAAGAATGCCTAAAGCGGATCGCAAAATATAAAAAAGGCAATTGAAATATTTCCCAATTTCCCCTACGTGGTCTTTGTGACAAGCAATGTTTCGATTATAATGCAATTAAATGCAAAGGTGCAAGCGAGCTGGAAGAGGATGACGAAAGTAATCCCTGGAGAAGGGGAACAAGGGGGACAAAGGACAAACATAAATCTCCAAACACAGCTAGGTGACTGGTGCGCGACCGAAAAAATCCGCCTGGTCCGGGTATCGAACCCGGGACCTCTCCATTACAAGTGGAGCGCTAACTGAGCTAACCAGGGGGTTAGACGTCGGTAGAGCAAACGGGTTTTATCAGCTGCCACCAGTCGTACACCAACAAGGGTGAAGCTTGCAATTTAATGTTATGATTATAATGCAATTAATGCAAAGGTGCAAGCCAGCTGGACCTTTGCATTTAATTGCATTATAATCGTAACATTAAATTGCAAGCTTCACCCTTGTTGGTGTACGACTGGTGGCAGCTGATAAAACCCGTTTGCTCTACCGACGTCTAACCCCTGGTTAGCTCAGTTGCTAGAGCGCTCCACTTGTAATGGAGAGGTCCCGGGTTCGATACCCGACCAGGCGGATTTTTTCGGTCGCGCACCAGTCACCTAGCTGTGTTTGGAGATTTATGTTTGACCTTTGTCCCCCTTGTTCCCCTTCTCCAGGGATTACTTTCGTCATTCTTGTCCAGCTCGCTTGCACCTTTGCATTTAATTGCATTATAATCGTAACATTAAATTGCAAGCTTCACCCTTGTTGGTGTACGACTGGTGGCAGCTGATAAAACCCGTTTGCTCTACCGACGTCTAACCCCCTCGTTAGCTCAGTTGGTAGAGCGCTCCACTTGTAATGGAGAGGTCCCGGGTTCAATACCCGGACCAGGCGGATTTTTTCGGTCGCGCACCCAGTCACCTAGCTGTGTTTGGAGATTTATGTTTGACCTTTGTCCCCCTTGTTCCCCTTCTCCAGGGATTACTTTCGTCATTCTTGTCCAGCTCGCTTGCACCTTTGCATTTAATTGCATTATAATCGTAACATAAATTGCAAGCTTCACCCTTGTTGGTGTACGACTGGTGGCAGCTGATAAAACCCGTTTGCTCTACCGACGTCTAACCCCTCGTTAGCTCAGTTGGTAGAGCGCTCCACTTGTAATGGAGAGGTCCCGGGTTCGATACCCGGACCAGGCGGATTTTTTCGGTCGCGCACCAGTCACCTAGCTGTGTTTGGAGATTTATGTTTGTCCTTTGTCCCCCTTGTTCCCCTTCTCCAGGAATTACTTTCGTCAATGTTTCGAGTTGAGAAGTGGTCGGGGCGATCTCTTCCGCTAATGGATACTACACATGATCCGTTTCAAATCCTGGAGCTGCTGCTCTTTTGTATAACATGCGAGCTAATCCACATGTGAATAATAAAATGAGCGACGCAAACTTTGAGCGACAACCCTGCTCAAGCTTAACAAGATCTAGAACCCCCTCCGCTCCCCCCCCCCCCCCCCCCACACACACACACACTGGCGAACGCCCAAATCATTAAACGTCTTCAAACGAATTCTATGCTTGCGTCCGCATTGTGAAGGTGCAACGACCACGAAGAGGGAGCCAGTT